GCTGAGTGACACAAAGGATGCTGGAGTCCTAGGTATTCCTCTTAAAGGGCCAGCACAAGGACTTACTCAGACTCACTCACTCCAAGCTCCAGTGCTGGGGCAGCAGTTTTAAAGGCTCCAGGTACATACAGGGAGGAACTATATTGTCTGGCATCAGGGCAAGAACTGGGGGGCAACTTTCTCCTAGAAAAAAATGCTGGCAGAGGTCAGTGTTCTTATGCTGAGACCTTCCCTCACCACAGTGCCAACAGTCAGGTGCCATATCTGAGTTTCCATCAACCTGGCCCACTGTTCACCTGGCCCTGGTGACTCCCTTAAACCCCACCCCACTCAATTTGCAGTCCCATCCAAGCAGTTTGCAGTGGCCTTTCAATACAAATAGCCTATCCTGGCTCAGGCTTCAGATTTTTCTAAAATCTCTCAAACACGCAGCAGTTGGCCTCAGCATGTCCAATACCTCTCAATAAGAGGCCTCAGGCCCAGCACTGGTAGCAGGCTGCCTTGGTTCACAGCTTGTCCTCTCCTGAGCACCTCCAAGCCCCAAACAAGTAGAAGCCATCTGCAGATCACTCTGTAGCTTGTGTCGGGAGGCCTCAGGCAAGGCAGTAGGTGACGTTGCACCTCCTGGGAGGCACTAGAGCCAGTGCACCCAGTGGTAGCTTTAGACCACGCCAGATTACAACCCTACCACATCCACGAGTGACACACTCAAGGGGCAGACTTGGAGAGCAGTAGAGCCCCAATGAAGCAAGTCCTGCTCCACAGGGGGGTCTCCTGCACATCAGCTCTTCCACTGTAGTTGCAGCTGATCTGCACAGGTGAGTGGCCTGGGGATCAATATCTCCCAGTGATACCAACAGCAATCAAGGCTCAACTACAACAGGACCATGCACACAGCCCACACAGGGGCACACCTAGAGTGCTCAGATCAGTTGACTGGGGAAGCTGAGCCACTGGGTCCCATAGGACACCTACTGCACAAGGCCACTCTACAAATTCCAGGAGACATAGCAGCTCTACCCAATACATAGAAACAGATACAAGGAAACAGCCAAAATGCAGAGACAAAGAAACATCACAAAGAACAGAAGAAATCTTCAGAAAAAGAACTAAGTGAAATGGAAGCAAACAAACTATCATATACAGAGTTCAAAACAATGATTATAAGGATGCTCAAGAAACTTAATGAGATCTTCAGGGAACTTAGTGACAACTGCAAGGAACTTAGAGAGAACATCAACGACATAAAAAAGGACCAGTCAGAAATGAAGCACACACTAACTGAAATGAAGAATAATTTACAGGGAATCATCAACAGTAGAGGATGCAGAGAATCAAATCAGCGATTTGGAATATGAGGAAGAAAAAAACACCCAATTAGAATGGCAAAAAGAAAAAAGAATCCAGAAATATGAAGATAGTGTAAGGAGCCTCTGGGACAACTTCAAGTGTACCAACATTTGCATCATAGGGACGCTGGAAGGAGAAGAAAGGGAGCAAGAAATTGAAAACCTATTTGAAAATATAATGACAGAAAACTTCCCTTACCTGGTGAAAGAAATAGACATAAAAGTCCAGGAAGCCCAGGGAGTCCCAAAATAGAGGAACCCAAACAGGCCCACACCAAAACACATAATTAAAATGCCCAGGTCAAAGACAGAATCTTAAAAGCAGCAAGAGAAAAACAGTTACCTATAAGGGAGCGCCCATAATACTGTCAGCTTATTTCTCAACAGAAACATGTAGGCCGGAAGGGAGTGACAAGAAATATTCAGTGATGAAAAGCAAGATCCTACAACCAAGATTACTCTACCCAGCAAAGCTATCATTTAGAATTGAAGGTCAGATAAAGAGCTTCACACATAAGTAAAAGCTAAAGAAGTTCATTACCATCAAACCAGTATTATAAAAAATGTTAAAGGGTCTTCTTTAAGAAGATGATGATGAAGAAAAAAGATAAAAAATATGAACAATAAAATGGCAATGGATACATATCTATCAACAATTGAATCTAAAAATCAAAATAAACAAACAAGGAATCTAATGAAAATAATAAACTGATGATAAAACAGAACCAGATGCATGGAAACATGGGACAGACTAAAGAATCTCGGAGTTAAGGGGAATGGGGAGTGGGAAGAGATTAGCCAAAGAACTTATATGCATATATGCATAGCCCATGGATATAGACAATAGGGTGGTGAAGGCCTGGGTTGGGGCAGGATCCTGATGAAGAGGATAATGCGGGGGGGGGGGAGTAGGGGCATCTGTAATAGTCTCAACAATAAATATTTTTTAAAATATAAATGAATAGAAACAAGTGAAACTAATGTTAGCTGGATAGGAAAGCAAGAGAAGATACTGAGGGTAGGAGCCATGAATTTAACCATGAAAATCATTCTTGTTTCAAAATGAAATAATGGACACAGAATTTCAATTTGGGATAAAAAATAGTTCTGGAGCCAGACAGTGGCAACAGTTGCACAACAATGTGAATGTACTTTAATGTCACTGAACTGTACACTTTAAAATGATAAATTTTATATGTGGCAGGTACAGACGTTATTTGCATACTGCCTTAGACTATCTCGGAATAATATATTTTCTATGGAAGAAAGTAGCTTTAAAAATCAAATTTCAACTTATTGAGAGTAAAGAGAGAGTATTCCCTCTTACCATGGTTCCAAACTTGAGCGTGTATAACAGTCACCTATAAACATGGAGATCATGGGGACCCAGGAATATTATGTTACTTGTTTCCCTGTTCACTGACTTACTTTAAGCCTGTACCATAGGTAGGTAAACTGCTGCACATGAATAAGGAGGGATGCACAAAGTTGTTCATTGCAGCACTATCCATTAGAGCAGGGGTGGGCAAACTTTTTGACTCGAGGGCCACAATGGGTTCTTAAACTGGACCGGATGGCCGGAACAAAAGCATGGATGGAGTGTTTGTGTGAACTAATATAAATTCAAAGTAAACATCATTACATAAAAGGGTATGGTCTTTTCTTTTTTAGTTTTATTCATTTCAAACTACGGCCGGCCTGCGGGCCGTAGTTTGCCCACGGCTGCATTAGAGCCACACAATGCAAGCAACACATTGTAATCAATTAGGAATAGATCCATATCATAACTAACAGTCAAAGTAAATAAATTAGATCTTCACATTTAGACATGGGGGGAATTTTAAAATATAATTTTAAGCCAAAAAAAAGCAAGTTGCATAATGATTGTACATTATGATACTATTTGTATAAATATTTAAACACATTATTTGGGGATACCTGCATATGCAGTAGAAATGTAAAAATATAGAAGCAGTTATCTTTGGGGAGGGAAAGAAGTGGGTTCAGGATGGGATACAGAAGAGGAGTACATCTGTGTATGTAACATTTAATTAATGTTAAATCTGAGTACATGGGTGTTTATTAGTGTTACTATATATTTGTTAGATGTTTGCTATTTTTCACTAAAACAAGAGGACTCAGGAACATCTAGATTTAATCTGGAATGATTTCCAAGTCATGTGAATGAGTAACAGCATTTTACGCTATGCCTAGTAAGTCTAATTTCTAGTCATTTTTTCCTCTATTCCCCAAAATTTTTTGGTTCATCAAAAATAATGCTTGAAGAGTGCTATCCACAAAATATTTTTAAGTACTTACCCAATAAACAGAGATAGTTGGGTTCAGTCAATCTGGATAATTTTGTGACCTGATTCAAGATGTTGTAAAGCTCTATTGGTTCACAGAGAACCAAATCAGCCATCCTATAGGGAAGAAACAACATAAAGCATACGTAGCCAGGACTTATGGTCAAGATGGTGGTGTAAACACAGTACTCACATCATCCTTCCACAATCACATTAATCACGTAAAGCATATTACCTCTTTCTATTTTAAAGTAGAGGCCTGGTGCACAAAAATTCATGCACTTGGGGGGGAGTCTCTCAGCCCGGCCTGCGCCCTCTCACAGTCTGGGAACCCTCAGGGGATGTCCAACTGACAGCTTAGGCCCACTCCCCGGGGGGACTGGGCCTAAGCTGGCAGTCAGACATCCCTCTGGCAGCCTGGGATCCCTTGGGGGATGTCTGACTAACGGTTTAGGTCCACTCCCTGTGGGACCCTGTGGGGAGTGGGCCTAAGCCGTTAGTCAGACATCCATAGCACTGCCATGTCCATTAGTGAGTCATCCATAGCACTGCCTCTCCCACCACCACCCCTGAGCTGGCCAGCCATAAGCCAGCTTCTGGCTGAGCTGTGGGCCCCTTGTGGAAGTGCAATGACCACTAGGGGACAGCTCCTGCATTGAGCATCTGCCCCCTGGTGGTTAGTGCGCATCATAGTGACCGGTCATTCCTGGTTGTTCCACTGTTAGGGTCAATTTGCATATTTCCCTTTTATTACATAGGATGAGTGCTCAAAAAGTTAACATATTGAATTAAACTCTTTCTTAATGCATCTTCAGGCAAAGATTAAAGTAATCATGAACATAATCAGGAAAGCCTCAAAATTCTATAGTGAGCCCTGGCTGCTGTGGCTCCATGGTTTCAAGCATGGTCCCTTACACTGAAACTTTGTGGGCTTGATCCAGTCAGGGCTCACACATGAGGCAGCTGATCAATGTTTTTCTTTCACATCGATGTCTCTCTCTCTCTCTCTCTCTCTCTCTCTCTCTCTCTCTCTCTCTCTCTCTCCATTCCCCTCTCTTTAAAATCAATGAAAAAAATATCCTCAGGTAAGGATTGATAAAAATAAGAATAAATTTTGTAGTGAAATGTGTGTAGAGAATAAAATATTTAACTATATAATAACATATGAACTATATAAATAACAACCAAGCTATAAAATAGTCAACAATTCACTTGTTTTTTTAGCATATAATTACTGAGCACCTACTACATGCCAGGCACTGAAAATAACTGTGGTAAACTAAACCTACCTTCATGAAGGTTACATTCTAGCACGGAATGCAGACACTGGACACAAAATACAAGTAAGAAAAGCACTATAAGAGTGTCAGTGTCCCATGTTGGAGGAGGAGCTAATGAGAGGACCTAACCTAGTTGCGGGAATCAGAGAAGGGCTGTCTGAGATGTGACTGCTAAGCTGAGACAGGAGGCTAGGCAAGACTTAGCCAGAAGAAGAGAGGGTGAAAAAGAAGGCAAGAACATTCAGTACCTGAGAGAGTTCAAGGAGACTGGTGTGGCAACAGCAAGGAGAGAGTAATGAGTGAAGACCCTGAGGAGGCTTATGATAAGGATCCTGAAGGTCAATATTGGATGGAGAATTGCTGATGTGTACTGACAAAACCACCTGGCCAGCTTGGGCCCTAGCTCCTGACTGCAGGGATGAGATACTGGTTCCTGAACATGACTGGTGCTCCAAGGACACTGAAGGGGAAGGACTGGACCTGTGCAGCAACTCCCTGCAGGGAAGCCTCCTTTTAGCAAGGGGTGGAGGCTGCAAGGAGCTGCCCAGCACCAGTAGAAACTGTTGGAGAAGTTGAATCCAGAGGTAGGTAATCTTGATCAAAACAGTTAGGGTCCATTTCAGTTACCAGTATGATGCTCAGGGAGAGCCCAAACCCTTGACACCTCCTCAAGAACTTCTGTTCTCAGCCTCCCCTCCATCAATTTCAACCTCTACATGGATCATTCATATTAGCACACAAACATCCTCTGTATCCATCTTTGTTCTCTTTACAGCAGTACTTCTCAAAAGGGTGGTGTTGAATCACTGTCTCCACTTCCTCAGCTCCAAACTCTCTACATCCTAATCATAGGTGTGCCATTTACTATGGGCTGCCTTATGGTGAGTAATTAGCCTCTGTGTGCCTCAGTTTGCATGTCTGTAAAGTGGGGGTAATATTAGCTTTGCCACTTCTATAAAATGAGCATAATAGTACCTATTTGTAGTGTGTGGGTTAATGAAATTACACATAAGGTATTCTGAGCAGGGAGGAAATAAATGCTCAGTAAGTGTTGGCTATTGGCACAAGTTTCTCCCCTGGAGCTTCTAACCCTATCAAACTACAGAAATTATTCTTATCAAGGTCATCAACAATATCCATCTCACCTAATCCATTAGTCACTCCTCTCTGTGCTCAAATGATGAAGTTTCTTAGCTGCATTTACCCCAGTTGAGCATTCCTCCTTCCCCAGTACTCTCCACTTCCCGAAGTCCACACACACACATACTAGTACTCTCCAGGCTTCCCTATCTCTTGGACTGCTCCTGCTGTCTTCTTTTATGGGAGGCTCTATCTTTACGTAAGAATGCCCTTGGTCATAGTCACCTTTCTTCTCTAGCTATACTTTCATTCTAGGAAAGGGCTTCTCAACCTCAGCAGGACGGATATTTGAGGCCTATCTTCTGTTGTGGGGGCTGACCTGTACTTCGTAGGATGTGTAGCAGCATCCCTGGCCTCCACCCAGTGGTTGCCAGTAGCAAACCTCCCCCAATCCGGCTGTAACAACCAAAAAAGTTTCCAGAAGTTGCCAAATGTTCCCTGGAAGAAGAGATATCAAAAACCCATTCATAGGATTACTGCCACATCACCTTTTTCAATTGCCATTTTCTCTTCTTTTGAATTTGAACTCTGGAGTGTTATTGTTATACTGTTATATGGTTTGGGAGATTAAGGGTTTCTTTTTTGTTTGTTAGGATGCTCTGATCTGACATTTGACATGAAAACAAAGTACTAGATGCTCTTTTGACTTCCATCAATGAGATGGGGAAAATATAACAGTTCTTGGTAACGTCCTTTATAATAATGGTTTGATTTTTTTTATTTCAAGAGAATCTTTTTGCCAGTGCTTTTCCCAAGTTTACCCAGTTTCCTTATCACTTGCTATAGATGGCTTTTGTATTCATGCACACTATGTTGCAGGTCTGTTTCATTTAGTAAACTGAAAATTATTGCTTAATTTTAAAAATGCTAGTTGAGAACCACCACTCTAAAATCTAGAGTCTAGCTGATTCATCTCATTCCTGTATACCAATGAGTCCCAAACTGTACCCCTGCTTGATTTCTCCACTGTGCTCAACTTCACTTGGATGCCTAATTAGCATCTCAAATATAACATAACCAATATTGGGCTTTTAATTCACACATGCCCACACCTCCAATGCATGTTGATCGTTTAGTCTTCTCAGTCTCAATAAATAGCACCATTATCTACCTAGTTACATAAGTCCATCCCTAATCCCTGTTTCCCTCCACCCCTCACATCTACTCTATTAGCTCTACTACCTAAATATATTCCAAATCCATCTAGTTCTTTCCATCTCCGGGGTTAACACAGACCAAGATATCATCTCTCTCCTGATGATGGAATACTTGCCAACTGGATTTCTTGCTTTCTCCCTACAGTCTAATCTTCACATGGCAGTCAGAGTGATCTTTTCAAAATATGTTTGTCTTCACCCCACTTGTCATTACCTGATATTATCACTCATTGTTGGTTTTATCAACAGTCTCCTCCCACTGGAATGTATGGCTTGTTAGGACAGGGACCTTGTCCTTCTTGCTCACTACTATGGTAACCAATGGGGCCTTCTTGACATGATGTCATACATATAGATTCCACGTGTAGGATTCCACATGCAGGTTCTAAAGGATCTCCCCACCCCCACCTCAGGTCAGGTCCTCAGCCTCTGAAAGCCCTGTCTGCAGGCCATTCTGGAAGTGGTGAGTACAGGGGAGAGAAGACAGGCTTTGGGTCTAGTCCAACCACTTTGTTAAGCCAACCTAAAAACTGGCTGCAACCTATCGGGCCTATCGCTCACACCCCATCCTTAAGTTCCCACCTATAGTTCCCCATTACAACCTCCATCACTTTATTCACTAGCCCAAGGGGTTGTCTCTTAGCATCCAGGTAAAAACTCAGCCACAGGGATCAACTTCTTCAGACTTATCTCCTTCCCAGAGAGCACGCTGCCTGGTCAGGCAAGAACTGCCCCTCATGTGCTGGTCAAGTGCAGGGGGATGAGAGCAGTTTCTGAACCTCACAACAGGATTCTAAGAGATGACACAACCCTATGAGCTGAAGATCAGTGGTACCACTAGCCCAGGTGGGTAGAGGGCTGAGAGCTAACATCCCTTTGAACGCTACTCTGAAATCTACAGGATTTAAGATGTTCTGGCTCCACTGTTTGAGCCCTAAGAATATTTTGATATTGCACTTTTACATAAAACTATGAAACTATTTTTGAGATTTTGCCAAAAGTATTTTCCTTAATGGATCCCATGAAGTTAATTTATTCCTTCATTTTATTTTTGTAATATATTTTATTGATTTTTTTACAGAGAGGAAGGGAGATAGTTAGAAACATTGATCAGCCGCCTCCTGCACATCTCCAATGGGGATGTACCCACAACCCAGGTATATGCCCTTGACCAGAATCAAACCTGGGACCTTTCAGTCCACAGGCCAACGCTCTATCCACTGAGCCAAACCGGTTTCGGCTTCCTTGATTTTATATATTTCAGTTAACTAATTCCAATATTCTTCACTTTCCATTTTGTTTAGCCAAGATTATTTTTTCCAAAATCAAGTCTTTTTTTCCATGTGAATTTTATATTAAAGATTTGATTCCTCCATCAGATTTCACTGAGTATGGTTTCTGCCACTGTGAATTTCATTTGTACTGATTATTTCTATCAAGTTGTTTTCAACAGTGGAGTCAAAAGGCAAGTTTAAGACATTACCCTTTGGACTCTTTCAGCACAGCATTGCTCTTCTTAAGAGACTTTTGAGGAGTTTAG